TTACCATAATTTCCATAATTTGTAGGAACTAAACTTTCCATCATTATAATTTTCCATAATTTGTAGGAATCAAATTGATGTCTCCATATTTTGAAATCTATATATACCCACATTCACCCGGTGATTGTATATCGCATTGCCGCATCGTCAAGTTCAATTGAGACCTTCTCTCTCAACTTTGATTTTCGTCACCCTTTTTTAGCTCAGCGCGACTTTGGTAGGAAATTCATATCTCATTGTAGGGATATTGAAATCGTGATCCGTTTGATTTTCCAGAAATTAGACTCATAGAGCTACAATATATCCGAAAATCACGATCAGAAAACTCTCGGATTTACTCAGGTGATTTTTTGAACTCAGCCTAAAATTCTGATAAACTGAACGCATCAGCTTTGTGCGACTTCGCGGAAAAATTCATATCTGGACGTAGGAATAACGAAATCACAAGCGGTTTGCGGTGTTGGAAAGTAAATTCATAGGGCTACATCATATACGAAAACCACGATTAGATTGCATCTGTGTTGATTCAGTTTTCTATTTGAAATCAGCCTTTCACCAACCGCAAAAATTTGAGGCTACCACCTTTATTTTGGACATGTTCATACGAAACTGAACTTTTTCTTTTGTTTAATTTTTTTCGCAGATATTTGATAGAGAAATACGACTCCGATCCCGCAACATGATGCACTTCCGCGACCGAGATTCGCCGCATCCTCTTCTTGAAATAGTGGGCGACGACCAACAAAATCCGAATGCCAAAGTTCTACTTTTGGAAGTTCAACCTCCTGCTATCGGCGTCTTCTCTCTTGTTAGTGGAGCATATGATGAATCTCTTCTCCTTAAAGAATGGTCAAAAATGGATACCAAAGATGTTATGAGAAACTTCTCGAGCAAGGCTACTAGCATGAAAGTTCCTTTACTGAAATCTGCGATTCATCATGACGCAACATCTTCTAAATCTTCTCATTCTGATGGAAGTTTCAGCAATTGGCGTGTTCCTTCTTCTAACTTTGGCAATGTTTGCTACACACCTAGCTACTGGGAATGGGTAGAGGACATCATCCGATTCCCCTACGATCTCTCCTTCCTCACCTCCGTCTTCTACAGATGACGTTTTGTATTCCTCTGAAGCAGCTTTGTTTAGTTCATCAGCCATTTTTGGTGTTTTTCTCTAAGCTTTCGTCCAAGAAATTTGTGGGGTTGGTTATGGATTTCAGTTGAACTCCTCAAATTGTATTTGGGAAAACTCCGGTTTGTTTGTTGACAGTTTTCACCCTAGACCCGCTAATCTTTTACTTTCTGGGCTGGGCTGCAAATAGGCTTTCTGTAAAAAGAAAAAAAATTACAAAGAGCTGCTATAATAAACTTTCATAGTTATAGTTTGTATATTTACAGGATATAGTTACAATTTAAGTTATCTTATTTGTATAATTCATGGATTTTCACCCTAGACCCGCTAATCTTTTACTTTCTGGGCTGGGCTGCAAATAGGCTTTCTGTAAAAAGAAAAAAAATTTGTCCGGCCATGATTGGGTGAAGTTTTGGTTTAGAGGATCTAATAGATATGTCGAACCTCCGCAAAAGGTGTCAAAGGTACGAGCCACAAAGCCAAGATTAAATCACAATCCTTCTGGACATATTGATTCGAACTTCCTACCGCGGACTGACGAGGAGAATGCCCCCTTTGTCGAGTTAGATGTGGAAGAATCACTTAGAGATGAGACTAACTTGGCATCCTGCGGGTATATTTGTATAATTCAGTTATTTTTGTATAAGCTTGAAATAACGAATTTATACAAACACAAACATCTTAACTTTAAGCAATTATACAAATTATATTATACAAAAGTTATACAAACTTGCGAATTATACAAACTCAGAATCCCAGCCCACGTAATTATTGTAAGCGTCTAAAGTTTCAATCCTGAAATACAGTAAACAGGAAAAGAAAAATAGCAAGCAAGCAATAATATTTGTATTTGAATTAATGTGAAGGTTACAATCTTTATAAAATCTCTTAAAAAGATATGTTATGGTTGGCTTGGGGAATACTTTGGGACTCATCATCGTGCCAATCGTTCACATCGATCAATACCTCTTTGCAAAATTTCTGGCGAGAAGATGGCAAAGTGTTTTGATTTTACTGACGCCCAAAAGTTATTTCAACAGGATGATGCCCGTCGCCTCCATCATTTAGCAATGCTGCAAGGGAGGGATTTGCACCTTACTGATAATGGCAAGCTTTCAAATTCGTGGAACGAATATATCATAAGCCTTCGTTCAGGCTATGTAA